TTTGCTACAGTGGACTCTTGATAGGTATCGCGTGCGAGAGAGACAGCTATAGAAAAATAGCGCGTTCCATGCTGACTGCTGGCTCCGGTGCTCACTTTCCATAAATTTCCTTAAATTCGTTTCCTATCGCATACCTGTTTCAATATAAATCACAACCCTATCACATGTGGGCTCGTTTTAAAGAGAATTTAAAGACGAAGAAGATGGCACCTTCGAAAATAAAATTTTCGTTTACGGTTAGAAAATTGCACCTTGAAGTGTAAAACTCTGAAGTTTCGCAGTTATAACTGTCGACTTGTTCTACACTTAGAAGGTTCGAGTTTGCGATTTGCGACCCCTGGAATATGGTATTCCGCTGCAAGCGAACCGGAACCTAAAGAAGAAAAGCACGACTGCCCGATCTGTTTCCTCCTGAACGCTAATTGATCAATGATGACTTTGGTATGCCGGTCAGCCAACGAGCGCGCAGAGGGAATCAGACCGAGCAGTCATACTTTTCTTCTTTAGGTTCCTGTTCGCTTGCAGCGGAATACCCTAGGGGTGCCTAACTCCATAAAAATGTGTTCACCCGATTACCAAAATTTAAAGGTTACCAATGATTACCAAAGATTACCTATGTATACTAGGTATGATCTCCCCTTATTCTAAATCAAAACGGCAATTTTTTTGTTCCGAGAAAGATGCTTTTTCGTACGACTCTTTAGAAGTTCTTGATTCTTCATCATGCAAGTTACAAATTTGCATTCTGTGATTGGCCAAATCATGCCTTTGTCCACGGGAGGAATTCAAAGTTGCCATATTAAACATGCGCGTTGGCATGTAGGCAAGATGTGCACAAAAATTCATGTCTAAATCAATAAATTTGTTCTTTTAAAGGGCTCTCACACGAGTGTGAGGATTACCAGGGATTACCAGTGATTACTAAGTTTGTGTACACCCGATTACCACAGTTGGGCACCCCTCGCCCTATAGCGAGTGTGCCTGCTGGTGGCGGCTGCCTTTTCTTTTCGGCCCTCCGAAGTGTTCTGACGCGTTG